GGGGGGCGGGGAGGGCCACCCTGCTGCTGGCTGGGGGAACCTGCTCCCCAGATGTGCACAGATGTGCACAGCCCCACCACTGTGCCCGACTCACCTGAGCCAAACCCCAGCTCTACCCAAGCCACCCCATGCCAGATCCTGTCTCTGTCCTTCTCAGTGCCCCAGCTGGTGCTGACCGTCCTTCGTCTCCCCTCCCCATTTCCCAGGCTCGCCGGTGGTCCTCAAGCTGATGCTGAAGGAGCAGACGGAGCGGCGGGCTTTCCTGCGGGAGTATTGCATCGCCCTGTGCCTCTCCAGCCACGCCGCCTGCCTGCGCGCCCTGCCCATCGCCTTCGAGAGCGCCACACACTTCGCCTTCGGGCAGGAGCTCGCTCCCGCCGGGGACCTGTGTGCCCTCCTCAACCCGGGGGTGCGTGCTGCCCCAGAGCCCTGCGGGAGAGGGGCTGGGGCCAGGAGGGGTGGGAGGATGGAGGAGAAGGTGCCAGGACAGCTTTGCAGCTGGTGCAGAGACGCTGCGTGCGGGGAGAGCCTTTGCAGCGGGTGCAGTGACACCATGCACAGGAGGAGATCCTTTGCAGTGAGGTACTCGCTCGTGCTGTGCATGCGGAGACCCTTTGCAGTGCAGGCATGTGGCTACAGGCAGCTGTGGGGCAAAGCACAGGTTGGCAGTGCTGGGCAGGGGTCTGCGTGCTGCAGCAGCCCCTTTGGGGAGGGGGGCCGTGCGGCGGGCGACAGTACCACCCTCCCTGCAGGAGGGCCTGGCGGAGGAGCTGGTGAAGCGCTGCGCATCCCAGCTGGCTGAGGCGCTGGACTTCATGCACAGCCGTGCCCTGGTGCACCGGGACGTCAAGCTGGACAACGTGCTGCTCTTCGACCGCGAGTGCCGGCGGGTGAAGCTGGGTGACTTCGGGCTCACCCGTGTGCAGGGCTCGGCAGTGGGTGCCATGTCTGGCACCCTACCCTACGCCCCGCCGGAGCTCTGCCTGCTCCAGGGCTCTGACACGCTGGAGCTGGACTCCAGCTTGGACGTCTGGGCCTTCGCCGTCCTGCTCTTCTGCCTCTGCACCGGCTGCTTCCCCTGGGCCGTGGCCGCCAGCTCCGACCCCCAGTTCGAGGACTTCAGCGCCTGGCAGGGTGGCGCAGCGGGGCGGGGGATGCCTGCGTCCTGGCGAGGCTTCGGCTCTGGGGCGCTGGAGATGCTCCGGCGCTTGCTGACGCTGGACCCCGACCGCCGGAGCCCGGCCATCGAGGTGCAGAAATACCTGTCCCTGCCCTGGGTGATGGCCCCCAGCACCGGGGAGCTGGCACCTAGCAGCTCCCGGTCCCCCCTTACCGGCGGCATGGGGGAGAGCCCGGGGGGCACTGGGGGATGGGGTGCTGCTAGTGGGGAAGGTGGGGTTACCATGCCACCCGCTAACGCGCTGGCCTCGTGCCGGTAGCCAGCACCTCACCTCCATTCCGGGGCTGGTATCGCGGTTCTGGGCTCTCTGTCCGATGCCCGAGGCTTGCGGGGCTAGAAATTGGCTGCAAGGATGGGAAGGAGAAGCGATGCCTTGGGCAGCACCTGGAAACCCCAGCCCTGCAGCTGGACGCCTGGCACCTTGCAAATCGATGTCACTCGGTGGTGGTGACAACAGTCCACCCGAGCAACCATTGCACAGCTCTGAGATGCACGAGGGAAACCCAGGGCAGAAGCAGCCCGTGGGATGACAGAGAGAAACAGGAGGAGAGCAATTGTTGGGGTTTAACCTCAGTCAGCAACCGAGCACCACGCAGCCGCTCGCTCACTCCCCACCCAAAATAATAATAATAATAACGTAATACTACTAATAATACACGAAGGAAGTGATGCACAGTACAATTGCTCACCACCCGCCGACCGATGCCCAGCCAGTCCCCGAGCAGCGGCCCCCCCCGGCCAGCTTTCCCCAGTTTATGTACTGAGCATGACGTCCCATGGTATGGAATGTCCCTTTGGCCAGTTTGGCTGTGCCCCCTCCCAGCTTCTTGGGCACCTGCAGCCTTCTCAGTCGGCAGAGCATGGGAAACTGAGAAGTCCTTGGCTAGTGTCATCCGTGTGTTATCAACATCGTTCTCATCCTAAATCCAAAACCCAGCACTGTACCAGCTCCTAGGAAGGAAATTAACTCTATCCCTGCCGAAACCAGGACAGCAATTAATTAGAAGTTAAACCTCTTAAGGCCGATGCAAGACCTTGGCAGAGACAGATGGTGAAACTGCTCAGTAGAGGAACCCAGAAACGTGTCTGACCTTGACCTCCTTACTTGCACCTTAGGGATGAGGAGGTTGTCACAGGCTGCTGTTAATTAGGGAAGATGCTAAACAGGCTCCTGGGGGTTAACTGCTGTAATTAGGGAGAGATGCTAAACAGCCTCCTGGGGGTTAAGGACCTGGGGAAACAAGTGTAAGCCCTCAAAGCATGCAGCTGAACTGGGGTGTGATGGGGCTGGGAGGAGCTGCCAGGTAGACCTCTCTAGGGCTTGAGTGAAAAGTGGGCAAACGTGGATCCAGCTCTGTCTGGGCAGTGCAATGGGCAGGGTGATTTGCACCATTAAGGGCTGGATGTGGGTTGGCTGATAGTGCAAAAGAGTGAAGAGGCACAGTGAGAGCGTAAATTGGGATGGCTCTGGGTGTGCAGGAGGGGAGACACAAGAAAATCAGCTTCAACGGCTGCAAATATTCTCCATCTCCAGCAGGGGAGGGACTGGACAGGCTCTGGAGGGGAATTTGTAGGGTGAGCTCACCGTCTCGAGGTTGGACAAACACCTGCCTGGGCTCAACCAGCCATCCGGTCCCTCCTGGCTTTCCCACCGGGGCTGCTGGCAGCCGGGGGGAGAGCAGTGGGGTCCCGCAAGCTTTGACACTTAACCTTGGTGCCACAACACGCGCGGGCAGGGCTCTGCCTGCCTGCTGGGGAGCACTGTCCTGGGGCTCTCCTCCACCCCTTTGGGCAGTCTGCACCTCTGTTTTGGGACACGGGGCTCCTGGAGCCTCTGCCTGTGGCCCTCCACGCTCTGCCTGGGGAGCCCGTGCCCACCCCTCCCCGGGGACCCCCAACAGGCCATCAGCAGAGGATCCATCTCCTGCACCACCAACCCTGGTGCAAAGTGGAAGGGGAGGGGGAAAACTAGCTGAGACGCTGAAGCTTAATAAAATTGTTGTTTTGCTTTTGTTGTTGTTGTGTGGTGTTTTCCTATGAACCCGCTGCTTGAGCCCTAAATAGTGCTTTTTCTCCTCCTCCGCATAGGCAGGCTCTGAGCGAAGGGGGTCCAGCCCTGCCACACCTCAGTGGTGCTGGGAAGTCTCTGGAGAGGAGAAGGCACCCGGGCAGCTGCGAGGCACGCCGAATTGCCGGCTTCGGCACCGCGCAGACTTTTCCTTTGTAGCTGCCCCCCTGAATTGCAGCCTGGGGATGCTCGACCCGGGGGTGGCGATGTCGAGCTGGACGGTGGTCCCTGTAGCTGGGGGGTGGAACCCCCCCCATCCTGGAGGAATTGTCTCACAGCTGGGGTCCTGCAGCCTGTTGCTGAACTTCTCCCAAGCCACACGGTTTTCCAGGCGAGAAAAACCTCCCCAGCACAGCACCGGTGTGCATGCCGTGGACCTTCCTGCAAAGGCAATAATGCTCCACGGAAAATGCATTGGGTACCGCTTGCAACAAGCAGCTCATGAACAAGTTTGCAGCACAGGTTGAGATGGACATATATTTTTATATATATATGTATATATATATACACGGCTCTAGTGTAACCTCAACCTAGCGTCAAGTGGCTGGGGAGAGCTGGGCCAGTAAAGCCCTACAGGGTGGTCCAGAGATGCTGCTGGCTGAATAGGAAAGGGGGCATCACGCGAGGGACAGCTAAGCCCCCGGACCGTTTAAAGGACGGTCTCAGGGACATTATGGGGGGTGTAACCTTTGTAACAGCCACCTGTTATCAGCTATGAAGCCACTTGAGCCACCTGTTATCAGCTGTGAAGCAGTGCAGCTGGACCTGCAATGGAAAAAAAACATCGGCCTCATCCATGGGGCCAGGATGGGAGAAACCTCCTGGTCTGAGTCCACCGACCTCATCTCCGGGGTACCGGGAAGGAGAAATCCCTTGGGGTCTCAAGATCTACTCCTTAAGGGGCAAACCCTCCCATCTCCAGCCCCCAGCGTGAGGGGGGACCGGGGAGAGGGGAGGATGCACTGCAAAAACCCTGGGCCAGTGGCTGGCAGAACGGTTTACTGAGATATCCAGAAATAAAGTGTATGGGCACGTAGCCCGTCAAAGCTATTGCATCTGGGCGTACCCAGCAGATGCTCCAAAAGCAAACCCCAAGAGCGCTGTTGAGGGGGTGGCCCCCAAACCCAGCTGAAGCATCATCACAGCACCTCTACCTTCCTGGTGGTCCAGATCTGTCGGCATCACCACCAGGGAGCCCTCCTGGGGACGGCTCAAAACCCAGCGAGCAACAGTCAAAGCTGCTTTTTTGGCTTCTTTGGGGTTTTTTTGTTTGTTTCTTTGTTTGTTTGTTTTTTAAACTTTGCTTTTCTGAGAAACAGAAATTACTTGCAGGGTTTGCCATTGTGGGCAGATCCACTTTTTTAACACCCAGAATTTATTCAGTGATATAAAATATAGGTTACTATCAGGGCCAGTGATTTAATCTCATTTTTCTTCATTATTTTTGATTAATTGGTATTTCTCCTCAGCTGTATCCTTCCTCAAATGACGAGGTAAGTGGCAGAGAAAAAATAGCATAAAGCTTCCTAAAAGCTGCAGATTTTTCTCGAGATTCACAGCAGGTTACTGCAAAATCCTAACATTATGTCAAGGATCTGGCAGTTCAGGATTTTAGGATCACTTTACAGGAAATGGCTACTTGTTGCATGGAAACCAATCCTGCTTTGACAGTCGTGCTAGTAGTTTTCAGAGTCTGAAAAACTCCTTTCAACCCCGCTGTGAGCCCACCCTGAACTTAAAGTGAAGCACCTGCATATCCTCAGTGACCATCGGGAATGGATTTTTTTTTTTTTTTAACAATTTAAATATTTATTCAAATAGTCATCACAATATTTACTTTAATATTATTTTTTAACCACTCAAGGGTTGTTGGATGAAGGCAGTGTCCTTTCACCCTGTTTCCCTCCAAGAAAGGCGCTCCAAAGAGTGCTCAGAAAAGGACATGCTTCGCTGCTAAGCACCCCCGACCTTTGCAGTAATTCTGTTTAGTAAAGTTGCAAATTGCAAAGGCCGGTGCGTTCCCCTTACAGCTGCACTCTCCACCGTGTACGCTTGCCTTCTTTCTACCTCTATGCAAGACCTCTATCCGTAACCGGCACTTGACAAGCTTTCTTCTGGTTCAGAGCGGGCTGATTCCTGCTCCTCTTGGACACTCCCAGGGCTTAATCCCAATTATTGTGCACTCATTCGATGACGTCTAGCGGAGGGATGGGACTGACCCCCCCCCCTTTTGCTTCACCACGCATTTTCTTAGAGAGTAAAGAGAGAGAAAAATGCCCAGACAATGTGGCTGTTTGAGCACGGTGAAGTGCTCCGTCAAGCCCTGACGCACACCAGCAGCGGCCGGCGTCAAAGGACCATGTCCATGCGCTGACCAACCCTCACTCAGGTTTTCCACTGGGGAGGAAAAAGCTCGTTAATGCCCCTCCTCTCCTCCTCTGATGAAATAAGTGGACCGAGGGCTTTCTGTCCTTCGAAGGAAAATTCTAGACTGGAAAAACATTTGGTTGCCTACAGACCTGCCTTTAGCCTGTCCAGGATCGTTGCGCAGGTTCACAGGCTCAAACACGTAGCAGTGAAAGCTCCTGTTAAAAGCAGTTAAAACCCTTGTATCGCCTTGCATGCAGATGCAACAGAACAATGTCGGTTTGACAAAACAGTCACTGCACTCATCCCACATGGCTGAGCTCGTCCCTTCCCATCTCTGCGCTGAAGGAAAGGGGGCCGTGCACTTGGGACACCCCTTAGCAGGGCGATCTGAGGATGGTCCTTGCAGGAGCTGTACCGGCTGGTTAGAAAAGGCAGCACTTCAGCAACAAGTCACGTTTGAGCCTGGTCAACCATTCTGCATGTTACAGCCGTTGTGTGAATACTTTTGTTATTTTCTAGGTGTTGCACATATTGCTCCATTTCTTTCTCAAATATTCTGCTCTGCAGAAGCTAGCACGGAGTTCCACGAAGATGTCTCTGCTTTTTTTTTCTTTCTCTAACGCCCCAGAGAGCAGACATGATGCCAACTTTATTATCAAGTGCATTGGCGTTGATGATGTCTGACGGAAAGAACTGACCACAAAATTTTACAAAAATGATTCTTGAATCTCTAGATGAGTCTGGAAAGCTGGCAGATGCTCTTAGTACTGCAAGTTTATCGTTCTCCCAGTTCTACTTAAAGAGATGGAGCCCTTGCTGGG